TTCAATAATTGTTATTAATTCTGCCATATTGGGGGGTAATTGTTGACACATAAAAGTTCAGCCCAAATCGAACAGCCCAAGGAGTAAAGCCCAATTGGAGGATCCCCAAATCGGATAGCCCAAAGAACGAAGTCCAATCGAACGAATCAAGGTGAAGGCCCAAATAAGGGGCCCAAGAATGCGGTAACGCCATCGCCCAAGTTTGCAAGTCGCCCAGAATCTGAACGAATGGAGTGTCATACAATCGCCCAGAGCTGTTATTCTACTCTCGCCCAAACCTTCAAGTCACCCAAAGTATCAACAAACACAACGCATCGTGGTTATCAAGGAATGCAGTTATCAAGGCAGTTGTTAAAGTAGCCTTATCACGTTCCACGACTCAAGGAATTCAATCGAAAGCGGTTGAACGATGAAAGATAATGGCAGCAGTTAAAAGGCAATTTCATGACAAAATGGCCACTACAAAGAAAGTGGGTAGTTATAGAACGATCAAGCAGTTTTTAGAGTAGTTAATCACAAAAAGATCGTCTATGAGGTATAAAAGGGAGAAAGGACGCAGAAGCAAGAAGACCGAATCCAAAACTCTCGAACAGAGAATATGTAACTTTCATTTCCTTAGCTTTTAGACTTAAACACTTTTCTTTCTGTAACTCGTGTGCTTGCGCCCCTTGGAGGCACGTTGTTTTTCGTTTCTAATTGTAAAGTTCATCGCCAATAAAAGAACACCCCTTTTTGGGACTTTGTCTCAAGAGGTTTCGTCCCTCACACAATCGTCTGATCCTTTTTAATTGTTAGCGACTTAACCCGCACGAAATACCTCCCTTTCTCTTATAGAAACAATTCGATCGGTTGACAGATACAGAAAGGCCAGTCTGCCAAGCATTCGCTCATACCTGGATACAAGTGACTTGCCTGGAGACCATTAATGAATCATTTACATAAACGCAGCTCAAATATATTATCTTCACCCTTTTCTCATTACAGATTCTTGTGTTGTCTATTTGAGAGTGGATTGAGTTACAGATGTTCGAATTAAGTCCACGTTACGTTGTAATTATTACCAATTTGAAAATATCTATGCACAGAAATGCGTTTCACATCTACACATCAACATCTAAATAGTTCGATCAATTCCAACAAGTGGAAGGGGAAATACTATCCACAAAAAAGGACGAGGAATATTTGAAAGAACATCATCTATCAATCTCCTTCAGTTTCATACAAACCATTAACTTTCCAATGGGCCTAAATGGTACTGATATTAGACTCCAAACCTACCGTGGAAATTACAGCCACACACAGTTTTTAACTCCTCGTTTCAAAAATCAGATTTATAACTTATTTATTCAAAAATCAGATAATAATTAATCTTTTTAATAATAATAATAATATTATTATTATTATTAGAAGTTATATTAATTTACTACCCACCCCAACCACTCCATCCAATTCAAACCTAATTCATTTTTCCATCTACAACTCAATTCTCTCTCTAAAAGCATGCCAGTCTTCATAGATTCGATGTGTAAGATTCGATATTACGCAACGATGACTCTCATAGAATACGCTTGACCTTCAATGACTCTTCATTGATTAAGCAGGCAACAGTGCGCAGCAAAGATGTTTCGTGCGATTATGCAGTGCGAGACTTGTGGTGTGGTTGTGGCTACGATGCACAGCCTATGCCGTGAAGCGCAACAGCCTCGCCATGCGCAGAAAGTATCCACCATCGTTGCGACACCTCGATGATGGGTTTATTTCTAATCTACCTCTATTTCCTCTTCATCTTGTTTACTGTCGTGTTGGTGATTGACGATGTGATGTAGGTGGTGGTGATGGTTGTTAGTGCGGGTGGTGATTATGCGGTTGTAGTGGCGACGATGGACATGGGTGAATGCAGACTTTTTGAGTTGGGGGCACAATCAAACTTGAATAGATCGAATATTTTGTTCTTGATTTTTAAATAATTCATAATTGACTCAAGAAAACGCAAAATTAAGTTTAAAAACACATTCCTTCATTAATATTTTGTTCATCATTTTCATCCATTTAATTTTGAACAGTCCTTTTATTAATAATTTGATCATCACAAGAAAATGCATATTTACGTTTAAAGAATTTATAATGTATTTTATATAAACAATTAATTCAAGTAATAAAAAGAAAAAAAAACATATAATCAATATTCACTACTAATATACAATCAAATAACCACAATTTGTTAGATATAAGTCAATTGGATTATAATCATTTAAGACTCATTCTACATACACAATTTGATTGGAGAAAATGTATATTTATGTTCAAAACATGATTAGGAAATGAAGTAAATGTTATAATTTGTAGAGAAATTATAGACAAAATTTAAAAAATTAGAAGAGTTAAGGTTTTGATAAAATACATGAGCGAGAGTCACAAGAGTGCAAGAAAAATGGAAAAGTTTAAATCTATTGTAATTTTGTCCCTATTTGATGGAGATTAAAATAAATTTCCAGTAAATTTTGATAAAAATTGAAAATTTATGAATCCCATGAAATTCGATATTAAATTAATCTTTAATTTTGATTTATATTAAAATTTAGATTTTAATTCATATTAATCAGGACTTTATTGAGAGGGGAAAAAAAACACTCAAAAGATGTGGGGTTAGGTGACCCCCCAAAACTTCCCTTGCGTCCGCCCTTGACAATGGATGTTGGTGGAGGTGGGCAATCTATGGTGTATATGTGCTGATCATTGTGAGTTCTGTGTGTATGGAAGTCGATTATGTGTGGTTGTGGTTGTGGTGGTGTTGGTGGTTGGTTGGAATAGTGGTGGTACGAGCGAAGATGGTGAGGTGGGAGTGGTGCAGGTGCTGGTTCGTTGGAGCAGGGGGTGGTGTTCGTCACTGGCGCTCGACTCTAATTTTGGACCTGAATTTGATTTTTTGGTGGTGATTGGGATGTTGGCTGTGGGGGTGATGATATTGGCGGCACTGGTGAAGTGGTAATAATGTTGGTCATTGGTGTGGCGATGGTGCGATTGTTTGTAGGTGGGATAACGTTGGGTGGGGACGTTTGTGACCAATCTTTGGTTAATTGTTATCAATTGTTTGAAATCATGATCAATAAATTGGATATTTTGTCAATAATAAATAATATGTGATCTAAATATTTGAACCGTGTCTTAAAAAATTTGTGATTTGTAATCGATAACTAAATTGTGTCTAAAAAATTTTGATTTTGTGACCTATAAAATTTGTGCTTTGTGATCCAAAAATAATTTGACCGAATTGTATAAATTTGTAAACTTAATATAAATAATTAAAAAAATAAATTTTTAATTAATTATTTTATAACCAAAATTTAATAGTGTCTAATTTTTCAAATTTTAAACCTTATTTTTTTTATTTTTAAAATGGATTATTGTTAAACTCTTGGGGTGCATTTGATTATCAATATTTTACATGAAAAATGATTTTTTTCACCCAAATTTCTACTTTTTTTCACCATTTGATTGCTAACCTTTTTCATGAAAAATATTTTCCTACTTTTGATTACGTGAATATATTTTCCTCAAAATCAAGGAAAATATATTTTTTAGGAGAAATAAGATTTTATTTTCTAAGGAATTCATTCACTTTCACTTTCTCTTTCCCATCTATCCACTCTATTTTATCTTCCCATCAATAAAAAATGGATAAGTATAATATTTTTTAGGTGAAAAATTAAATCAATCAAGCACATTTAATTGACAATTTCTATGTAAATAAATTCTTAGCAAATAAATTACCTAGAAATTTCTATTTTTAATTCAAATTTCATACTTACAACTAAACACATACTTAAATATAAAATTTTCTCCAGCTAGTGTGTTATGAAATGCCCAGAAATATCAACTCTAGGGCCCAATAGTCCAACCCTCGCTTCAAAAGAATAAAACGACGTAGCGTACTGTTTTATAGGAACGACGTCGAAAAAATCCAAAAGAGATTCCTTAACGGCTTAACCGCATATTTCTTCAACCTCACACGACACGACGCGTCTGCACGTTCTGTTCCACCTTACTCGCCCTATTTAAAATCATTGCTTAAGATGACATGCCTGTCATCAATTATCAAATGTTTGGCTAATAAGTACAATTATATTTTACTTGTAAATATATTTAGCATCGATTAAAATCAAAATTTTAATTTAATTCAAAATTAACAATTAATGTTAACGTGGATTCAAAGCTTTTTAATAATGCATTTTTATCAACTTTTATTAAAATTTACCAAAAATATGATTTTAATCTTCATCAAATAGAGGCTTAAGTAATTAACTTATTTTGAATGTATATTTATCAATTAAAGTAAGTAACTTGTGTCCATTTTAAGGATTATTCTACTCGTGCATAAAAAATATACGTAATGGATTATCTAATACGATGTGCAAGGAAAAGATTAGATGAAAAAATTGTTTATGTTTTAAACTGATACAAGGTGAGTGCCATGTAGGATTATGTAATGAATTATGTAAATTTTGATGTACATGTAATAAAACTCCTATTTTAATTAATAAAAGAGAAGAAGTTTAAATGTGGGAGGCGTGATTCCTTAAGCTTGAGAAATTTTGACATAAAATTATAATTGGATTAATCGTGATAAAAAAAACAAAAAATTGACATTGAGAGAGACTCTTTACCCAGTATAATTTATTTATTTATTTATTTCCTAAAATGTAAAAAAATTACACTATTTAATTCTAAATGTTATTTAACTTTTTTAAATACACAGATATACTGAGAATTGATTTAATGAGTACAGATACTTAATTTATATTAAGCATCGGAACATTATCGATGCTTAACATAATTTAAGCATCGATATATAACCATCTTATAATGTCAAAACACTTTGTTAAACATGAGATTATTTTATTAACAACTCCAAATATTCCTTAGAATTTTCACAACGTTAGATCAGCTGTTGTTTGTGTTTTGTCAAAGCCCTGTCATTTTAGCTGATTTCCTTAAAAATATCACACGTAATATCCGCAATTCCGCTGCGTTGTGCATTCGGAACGTTGACGACCGGCCGACTCGGCGGGACTTGACCGACCCAGATCTACCCCACCCACCAAAATCTCATTATAGATATACATACACATTGTGTTCTCATTACACCGTCGCCAGAATATTTTTTTTGATCCCACAAAAATGGGCGTTGATTACTATGACATACTGAAAGTTTCGAGAAATGCGAGTGAAGAAGACCTGAAAAAGTCTTACAAGAAAATGGCGATGAAATGGCATCCCGACAAGAATGCTGTGAACACAAAGGAAGCAGAGGCGAAATTCAAGCAAATATCAGAGGCTTATGATGTGCTGAGTGATCCGAAGAAGAGAGAGATTTATGATTTGTACGGAGAAGAAGCGTTGAAGTCTGGTTTATATCCTCCGAATGGTGGAGGAGGTAGAGGGTTTAAGTTTAATTCGAGGGATGCTGAGGATATTTTCGAGGAGCTTTTTGATGGATTCGGCGGAGGCGGACCCAGGAAGTTGAAGAAGGCGGCGCCACTGGAGAATAAATTGTCGTGTAGCTTGGAGGAGCTGTACAATGGATCAAAAAGGAAGATGAAGATCTCCAGGACTGTTCTTGATGACTCTGGGTAGGTATATCAAAATATTCTCTATTTTGTGACTTTTTAATATCCAATTTCGTTGCAATCTAATTTTTCGAGCCGCCATTGTAGAACAAAAAAAAAGCTTACAGCTTTTAGAGTTGGGACGCATTTTCTATCTAAGTTTAGTCTTTAACATCCACTGAATTCAGCTTTTTAGCAAAAAGGCATTTCAAGTGCATAATTTGATACTATATTGGACTATCTCGTGAGAAAACTTAAAGCTTTTAGCGAGGGGATGGACGTAATTTTGTATTCTTACATACGCGAGTCCTATTCTTAAGAATGATAGGATTGGTGCTGGTTTATGTTAGCGCGTAGCTAATTTATAGCTTTTGCCTGTTCTAGGGAATTGAGTGCAGATAATTAATTTAAGGAGTAAATGGACATGCCTATGCAGTTTTATGCACATTTCTAATCACAGAATTGGAATTTTCTATTAGTTTTTAAAAGTGGCTAAGAAGGTGCAGCTTTCCGTCGTTAATTGAAGTTCAATTTAGATTGAGGTGAATGATTGTTTACTGACGAACTTGGTGAGATTTCAATTGGGGTACTGTCACAGTTTTCGTTATGTCACTCTGTAATTTATTCTTCACTATGTAATGTGTGCAAAATCATAATTGCAGTAAGCCTAGCACAATTGAAGAGATCTTGGCAATAACTATTAAACCTGGTTGGAAGAATGGAACAAAGATTACTTTCCCCGAGAAAGGGAACCATGAGCCCTTTGCTAGCCCAGGAGACCTTATTTTCATAGTGGACGAGAAGCCCCATCCTATTTTTAAGAGGAACAGCAATGATCTAGTCGTCAATCGGAAGATTTCCCTACTTGATGCTCTTACGGGGAAGACTCTCAACTTGACAACATTGGATGGACGAGTTCTCACCATTACAGTATCCAATATTGTCAAACCAGGTCATGAGATGGTGATCCAAAATGAAGGAATGCCCATATCAAAAGAACCTGGTAAGAATGGAGACTTAAAGATCAAGTTTGATGTCAAATTTCCGTCAAGGCTTACTGCAGAACAGAAATCAGATTTGAGAAGGGTGTTCGGCAGGACTACCAACTAATGCAGGTTTGACTCAAGGATTATAAATTACTACCATTATATCTAATTTAGAAATGAAATGTAAATATTTAACATATTCACCTTGGAAAAGGTTACCGTGGATAGTCGGAGAAACAGATTCTGTGGTTATTTAACAATCGTTAGTTGCAACTCCAGCTTCACCTTGAAACTTTTTAGAGTAACAAGATAGCAGTAAAATAAGAATGTAATAATGCTTTATTTTCGAGTGTTGATTACGATTTTTATTACTTCATTTGTTGGGAGATATTTGTCTACTGGTTTATTTATCAATTTCATTGAGAAAATATATGTTGGTTTCTATGAGTTCTCTTTTCTTCCGTTTAAATTCTTTTACTATTTGCTTCTCGAATTTCATGATTTCTATGACATTTTTTATGCACGTAAATCTTCATTGTTGCTTAACCAAATTCAAACATATTCCAAGATTAATAACGACTTAAAAATTCAAAATTAGGTTATTTGATGACATACAACACCAAATACATGACCATATTAATATGTTCTAATTCTTGCAGGCTGATCTGTATCAGATTCTTTGTTTCTTAATCTTCTTTAGAGATCATCTCTATAGCTCCCACAACCTTATCAACTTCTTTCCCTTTCTTTATTAGTATGAAAGTTGGCATTGCCTTTACTCCTAATTCCTGTGTAACATCCTGCATATCGTTCATTGCTAAGCATCATTATTTTCGAAAACATAATTGCTTAACAATTTAATTATGGAAATTACTTACATCCAACTCATCAACATCAATCTTGATGAAGTCTACATCCAAATATATTTCTGCAAATACATCGATCGCATGTACCATGTATCGACAAGGTCCACACCGTGAAGCTGTGAAATTGATGACTGTCTTTAACCAAAAGATAAAAGTATTACGAAGAAGACGATACATTTACACTAACATTGTCTATATTGAACATGATGAGGACATCTAGTTTATTTATTTTAGTGACATCTAGTTTATTTATTTTATTTTAGTTGGACTGTTATTTTGTTTATTTTAGTTGGGTTATTTTCATGGACTTGTGTAATGGGCTTGACCCTCTCTCTTTAGGTTTTTTTTGTTATTTAAATCTTTTTCGCATGTAATGGACAGTTGATGATTGAATAAAGATTTTTGGTGGCTTGTGGCGAAATCCCCCCTCTTCCCTGTTCTTCTTCTTCTTCCCCCTATTTTCTTCTTCTTCCATTCCTTCCACTGATTTCTTCTTCTTGATTTATTGATTTTCTCTTTCTTCATTAATAATTCTATTGGTGCTGCATCAAATTTGGTATCAGAACCGAATCTTGGATAATTCTTCTCATACAATCCAAAATTTCTTCTTATTTTCTTCCCAAAATTTGTTGGAACAGCACAATTGAAAAAGATTTAGGGTTGAAGCCAGTCCCTCACCCTCAGCCGTATAGCGTCTCCTAGGTTGATACTTCTTATATAGCTATCAAGGAGAGTTGTCTAGCCCCTATCCAGTTCCTCGAGTATAAGGACCATATATCGTGTGACGTCATTTCAATGAATGTCAGGCACATCATCTTGGGACGACCTTGGTTATTTGACCTAGATGTAACCATCTATAGTCGATCAATTCTTGCTCTTTCGTGTTTAATGGAAAGAAGATTTACCTTAACCCACTGCCCTCAAACCGTGTAAGCTCACAAGAAACAAAGAAGAGTGTAGAACGAAAGGGATTGCATATCATTAGTCCTACGGAGTTTGAGCACACACTTGTTAGTGACTCAATTATGTTCGCTTTGGTAGTCAAGAAGGTTTCATCTAACTCCACAACAGAGGGCCCTGCTGAAATTCAGTCGTTCCTTCGAGATTTTCAGGATGTCTTCCCGGAGGACCTACCTGATCATCTACCTCCTCTATGGGACATTCAACATGCCATAGATTTTATCCCAAGGGCATCCCTTCTGAATTTGCCTCATTATAGGATGAATCCTACAGAGCACACTGAACTCCAGAAGCAAGTAGATGACCCCCTTCACAAAGGATTCGTTCGTGAGAGTTTAAGCCCGTGTGCTATCCTCACCCTATTGATGCCTAAAAAGGATGGCTCTTGGAGAATGTGTGTGAATAGTCGTGTTATCAATAGGATCACGGTGAAGTATCATTTTCCTATTCCTAGACTTGAAGATATGCTAGATATGATAGTTGGTGCTACAATCTTTTCAAAGATTGATCTGAAAAGTGGATAACATCAGATTAGAATCCGTCTCGGTGATGAGTGAAAGACCGCCTTTAAAACAAAAGATGGTCTTTATGAATGACTGGTCATGCCTTTTGGGCTAAGCAATACGCCGAGTACCTTTATGCGGGTAATGACACAAACTCTTCGACCTTTCATGGGTAAGTTTCTTGTTGTCTACTTTGATGATATTCTCATCTATAGTAAGATTAAGGAGTAACACCGTGACCATCTCACACAAGTTTGTTCTACCCTATGTGCAAATAATTTGTATGCTAAAGTCAAGAAGTGCTCTTTCTTCACCGATACAGTTGGTTTCCTAGGTTTCATTGTCCCTTCGACGGGGGTATCTGCTGATCCTGCCAAGATTCAGGCAATTCTTGACTAGCCTGAACCTAAGACTATTCATGACGTTAGGAGCTTTCACGGTTTAGCTACATTTTACTGTCACTTTATCAAGGGGTTTAGCACCATTATAGCGCGTATTACGGAGTGCATGAAGAAATGGGAGTTTTATTGGGCACAAGAGGCGGCTAAGGCCTTTAAGTTGGTCAAAAAACGAATGTCTTCCAAAATTTTCCAAAGTCTTTAAGGTCGAGTGTGATGCTTTCGGGGTAGATATAGACGGAGTCTTGAGTCAGGATCGTCACCATGTTGCCTACTTCAATGAGAAGTTAAATGAGGCCAAACAACGGTACTCAACTTATGATAAAGAATTGTAAGCGGTTGTCCAGGCTTTGCGTTATTAGCGCCTCTATTTGTTGCCTCAGGAGTTTGTTCTTTATTTAGACCACGAGACCCTCTGTTACCTCAACTCCCAGAAAAGATTGAGCTCTAGGCATGGTCATTGGATTGAATATTTGCAAGCCTACTCGTTTGTCTTAAAACAAAGAAGGGCGTGGAGAACCAAGCAACTGATGCTTTAAGTCGTCGTGTCTCCCTTTTGTCGATCATGAGCTTCAAGGTATTCAGTTTTGAAAGGCTTGAGGAGGATTATGAGACGTGTCCTGATTTTAAGGATATCTTTCTTGATTTGCAAGGTGGACAGTCAGATATCACAGATGGCTTTCGACTTGAGGAGGTTTACCTTTTTAGAGCCAATAAATTGTGCATCCCTCGAACCTCAGTGCGGGATTTCATAGTGTGGGAAGTTCATGTGGGAGGTTTAGCCGGTCACTTTGGATGTGATAAGACCATAGAGGAGATTGAACGCCAATTCTATTGGCCAAGTTTGAAGAAAGATATGGCTAAAATTGTTGGTACATGTAGCACTTGTCAATTGGCCAAACAGAAGAGGCAAAACACAGGCCTATACACTTCTATTTCCGTCCCTAATTGTCCTTGACAAGATGTTAGTATGGATTTTATGTTAGGAGTTCCACGCACCCCAAAGAAACATGATTCTATTTTTGTGGTTGTCGATCGTTTTTCGAAAATGGCTCACTTTATTCCCTATAGCAAGACCTCAGATACGTCCAAAGTTGTCATGTTGTTCTTTAATGAGATTGTCAAATTGTATGGGTTTCCTAAGACCATTGTGTCTGATAGGAATGTTCGTTTCACTAGCCATTTTTGGAGAATTTTGTGGCAAAAGATGGGTACCAAATTGAAATTTTCTATAGCCTGCCAGCCTCAGACTGACGGTTAAATTGAAGTAGTTAATCGTAGTTTTGGTAATTTGTTACTATGTCTGGTCCGGAAAAATCTTCGAAATTGAGATTTGATCCTTCCTATAGCTCAAATTACGTGTAACAGTTCCATAAATCGTTCATTAGTCCATTTAAAGTTGTTCATAGGTATATGCCTAGGAAGTCGTTAGATCTCATTCCTATGTCTCCACAAGATAGAGTGTCAGTCGAAGCATTTGCACAACATTTTCGTGATTTGCATATTGAGATTAATAAACAATTTGAAGCCAGTAATGCAAAATATAAACTCCAAGCTGATTTGCATAAACGACGTGTTGAGTTTAACAATGGGGATTATGTTATGGTCCGCATTAGGCTAGAGCGGCATCTACATGGACCCTTCTCCAAATTGCAAGCTCGTAGTGCTGGTCCTTTTAAAATTTTAAAGCAAGTTGGTCTAAATGCATATGTTGTTGACATTCCACCACACCTTGGTTACCACTCTACTTTCAATGTTGAGGACCTAGTAGCTTATAAAAGTCTTTTCATTCCCTTATATGATCCTCTATTACTTCCTTCTGTGGACCTTGATCTTAATTCTTTGGCCACTTCTAACCCATTACTACCTCTTACAACATACAAAGATAAAATTAATGCTATTTTAGATGAAGAAACTGTGTTAACTAATGATGGAGAGGTTCAGCGCTTCCTTGTTCGTTGGGTTGAGCGACCAGATTCTGACTGTACATGGATCTCCAGTAGACACTACAGCAATTGGATTCAGATTTGTTGGAGTTTTATCGGAGTCAGCAGGATCTTTCTTAGCCCAGATTGCCTCCCCTCCACTCAGGGGGAGTTGGTGAGGACACCAGATTCAGACCTCCACTGACACATTTATATAGACCCCGGAAGAAGCTTGTCCAACCACTTAACTTATGGTTGGGATATTGACTACAACCTATATTGATATATCCACTTAAAAGGTTCGAGTTTTCTCCCACCTCGAGAGAGTTGATGAGGACATCCAATTTATTTATTTTAGTGACATCCAATTTATTTATTTCAGTTTAGTTGGACTGTTATTTTGTTTATTTTAGTTGAATTATTTTTATAGACTTGTGTAATGGGCTTGACCCTTTCTCTTTAGTTTTTTTTTTTTTTTTTTTTTTTTTTTTTTTTTTTATTTTTTTTTTTTTTTTTTTTTTTGTTATTTAAATCTTTTTCGTCATGTAATGGACAGTTGATGATTGAATAAAGATTTTTGGTGGCTTGTGGCGAAATTCCCCCTCTTCCTCCTCCTTCTTCTTCCCCTATTTTCTTCTTCTTCCATCCCTTCCCCTGATTTCTTCTTCTTGATTCATTGATTTTCTATTTCTTTATTAATTTTTCTATTGGTGTTGCATCAGAACAGCTATTGAAAGAATAGTTAACAATTCTAAAGTTTGTTTTGAGACTTCGAATT